ATAAGATAAAATGAAATGGAATAATCATAATAATATAGATTAATAAAGAACTATAAAATAATGAAATGATATGGATATGCCGATTAGTATAAATAATATACGGAAATTAAATCAATAAAATTTCCAAATGCACACGTAAATGGAATAAATTTTCTTAATTTATTAACGATATCATTAAAACTAATACTTTCATTGAAGCAATATATAACAACATAGCTTTAATAATATTTGCCATTAAATCAAGAAGATTTACTCTAATTACGATATTGTTGGAAATTCCATTGATTCAACAGAATTTTTTTCCGTGTGTAAATTGACTCAGCCAATCATCAACATTCGACATTATATATTTCAACATCGCACAAAACGCTTAGTAAGATTCGACTGATCGAACTTTCGACTGTAACATATTGCAATATTTAGTTGCACAATACGAAAATGACGCATTAAATTTATGTGTTCGTTGACTGAGGAGGAAATGGAATATTACACACATACACATTTATAACATCAAGTTATATCAAATATAACTCAATATCAGAAGAAGCTCTCGACAAGTTTATCTTTCAGCTCTCTTGAATGAATTGCTCAACTACTTGCTTTCAAAAACAATACGTAGGTTGTACGGTATTACACGGAAATTGTTATCACACGGCCTGACGCGAACGGACTTTATTTTATTAGAAGAGAGAAGAACGAATCGAACAGCTTCTCGATCCCACGGTTTCGCTTCGCGCGCGTGCATGCGCGCGGTAGGCTGCGACGCGTATCCCAACGGTCCCTTTGCGTGCCACCCTCGCCGTAAATGACGTCTCGTAAAAAAATCGCGCCCCACCTTTTGCCCCCGTCTGTGCGGGTCTGTAAAAATTCTGCACGAACGACGGAAAAGAGAAAGAAAAACGCGAAGGAGCCCACAGAAGTGCCGGTATCGAGAGCACTGGGGTTCCTTATCGCCGCCAGTCGCGTACCTTATTATGCTCCCCGCCTCGCCACTCGTCACGGCTCGTAAAGTCGATATATGCAAAAGCGCTCTTTTCCCTCCACTCCGTCCCTCTCCCTACCGCTCTCTTCCGACTGCTGCAACCCAATCTACCCCCTGCCACAGGTAAGAAATTCCAGAACCTCACCTCGAGATCCGCTAAGGCCGTAATCCTTAAGCCGGATTCAGACTAGAGCGCCTTGCGCGAACGCGTCTAGAGCTTACTCGTGTGCTTGTTAAGCTCGAAACCTCGATCCTCCGTGGAATATTAAGGTCATTGACACTTTCGCGGCTTTATCCTATCCCTCAACACAACGTACGTCCCATTTATGCATCACAACTCTACCGAAAAAAAAATTCGTCAGCTCAAAAATTGCACAACGAATGTTAGTTTTCACAAAAAATATCGCCCTCTTTGTCGACATTACACAGTAAAACACATTTTGTACTAGCGTTAAAATCGGTCCTTGTTAAAAAAATTTTTTGTTAAAGTTTTTTTTTATATATGGTATCTCAACATTTTATATTGTATCGATATTCAACGTGTGTAAGTGTTAAAATAATACATTTTATACTTCATCGTCGGTTAATGTTAATTTTGCGTTAATTTTTTACACAATACCTATATTACTTTTCAACATATTCACCTTGTCAAATTAACACAAAAATTTGACCTTTCGGGACATGTGAGATGTGTTAAATTTAACACAAGATTTTTTACTGTGTACATAACCGGAACGTTTCACTCGACCTCGGAGTACGCAGCGTACCGTATTTGACGCGATCAACTAATTTTGCACTTGATCCTCTTGTTTTTTTTTTATCTTATTACATTCTTAGTTTTCCCGACCTCCCTCGGAGCCTGGCAACAATATAGGCGTATACTTGGAATTAATGATAATGCAAAGATCCACGCAACGGTACGATCGAGCGAACGCAGATCAGCCCCACCACGGTCTGAATCGAGCTTTAAGCGTATACCCGATGCGCCGCGAGCCGGTGACTTTCTCCGCGCTGGCGCTCGCAATGGGGAGCACACGCACGCACGCACGCACCGCGCGAGCCGTCGCCGCCGCGGTTTTATCGTCCAGCCTACTCTAAATATTTCTCTGGCATGAATTTATAACGACGACGGCGCGCCACCGCTAATAACGAGCGCGGTCCGGCCGATATCCCAGCATTATACGAGCGTCGGGTCGCGTTGATCGGCTCGCTCGCGGGTCCGGTGGGCATTATGGGCCCGCGTCCGCGCGCCATACGGGGGCCCGTGGCGATGAATGGAGCTCGTTTCGGAGTCCGGTCGCACCCGACCGCGGCGGATCGTCGTCGTAGATCAGTGAAAGTCGACTCGAGTTCGGCCGCTCGTCGATCCGCCGGCACGCGAGCCATTCCTCAATCCGCGCTGGATAGCGATCGATCGCGCCAGCGATCGTTCCCGGGGAAACATTATCGAGCTGTAGCGGTGGCGTCGTGCCGCGAAATAAGAACCGGGAAATTATTAATCACGACGCCTCGATTTTCCTCGCGAAATATATATAGTTTATCAGTATCGGGCCTATCTAAAGGTTCGATTTTTGGTCTATTCTTTCTAACTGAACTGGCTGCACTAGTTCGAGAAATGTACGCAACGCAACGCAATTTACTGAAACGTGAGAATCTCGTACGCATGTTCTATGCACTTCAATGTGTATGTAAATTTTTTGAACCAGAGTAGCCAGTTCAATTAAAAAGAAGGGCCATTTCTGTCTCATTCAGTTATTGAGCCTTTTGGAAGTGGTCATCTTCCATGATAGAAGTATACGAATGCTTCTAGAAGAAGTGAAGGATCATGGACAATGACGATGATTATTCGGCTAATGAATGATTTGCTTCTATCGCACGCAATCAAATCAAATTTGATTAATTCTGATAGTAACATGGTAGATCTATGAGACCTGCATGCGTTTTCTTTCGTTTATTCCCTCTTTCATGTTTTACACAAGACGTTATATCCCACTTTTATTTCTTTGTTATTTAAAGAAAAATTGGGTCCATGCGACCATTTCTATTATTAGCCTGACCCAATGAGGTATAATTGGTTTCCTAGCAGTAACCAGTTTACAAAGACAATAAATAAAAATTGGTAATAAATTTAATAATTTATAAAAGATTAAAATAATAGAAAAAAATCACGATTTTTACCATTTTTATGCAGACCTGAGAGACCTATAATGTTACCTCAGACTTAAAATCACGGATATTATTCTGATTAAAAAACTGAGCCGAACCTGTTGATTCGACATTCTTTTTACAAATTACATGTTAAATAAAATATTGTTATGCATTTTATGGCCATGAATATTCTCTTGTCTTTTCATAGTGACGTTCCTGTCCAAGTTTGTCGGAAACTTCTCTCAGTTTGATCCCAATTATTGTTTATTTTTTGACTGACCCGATAATACAAAGAAAGTCGCGTTCTTAAGCAATCAAGATTTTAATTAACACGTTAATAACGAGTTTGCATTCGCGTTTACGACGGTTAGTTTGCGTTTTCATCGCGCGTAATGAACTATATTCACCAGATATATAATAATATTCGCAACCATTTTGTTCCACCGTGGTATACTTATATCTCGGCGTGTGATTACATGCAGACTGACGGTCGCGATTTTCATGTGGCCGCGCACGAGAGCGATCGCCGACCGCATTAATCGCATAATTAAACCATCACTCATTGTGCATCCCGCGTTTTTCTCCTCTTCTCCTTTTTTTCTTTAAACGTTCTAATTATGCCGCGTTCTTAATGACTCGTTAAAATTGCTTTAATAATGCCGGAGGTAATAAGCTGACCGTGTAACACCGTGTGACAGCCGATCGGTCACGCGAGTGACTACTCTATCCGTTGCAGTTGAGCGGCGCGCGAGTGTGGGAGATACAGGTTGTACGCGCGCTGTTTCGACACCGTGTCAATAAGAGCCGACGATTTTAACATACGCACCTTTTACTCGCTGTCGCGCGTATTGGCAAAAAAAAACACTGCGCGCAGGCGCACGCATGATTTCAGCTTAATGCATATGGACGTTTATATTCGCCGTTATCGCGCGTCTCGCTCGAAACGCGTCATCAAGTACTCGGAGGTAAAAGAAAGAGAATACTGCGACGTGTTCTGGCGGAACAAATCGCGAAAATGTAAACAAGGAAGGATCGTTGTTCATCTAACCATTAACGGCTGCGTTCAACGGAATGTTTATTTTACAACTGTAGAAAGTTTTCCGTACTAAGATTGAATTTTTTTGTTCCTCTGGATCTAAAAGAATACGTTCCTTCGTGTGTTCCTCTTTTAAACTCTTAGCTTGCGCCCTCGCTACGCACACCAAGACCATTCGTAATTCACGCCACGCAGGACGAAGTACTTCCGCTGGACGTCACACACATCCTTCTTCCTCCTCGTCACGATGCACGCGTGCAGCTTTCATGCGTGTTTAGCGCGTGCGCTCGTGAATGACGCGTGCGTTTCAACGGGAAGCCTCGCGTCCGAATTTCTCAAGACTAATTTACCTAGTCAAGAGTCTTTCCAGCGCGAAATACATTCAACACGATCCTCTTGCGGCTCTTCAATTCACTTCTCGTTAAATTTGTGAAACGCTCGAGAAAGAGAGAGAGAGAGAGAGACAAGAGGAAGAAGAGAAAAGAAAGAAACCAACAACTTCAAACGACTTAGCGACTCAAATCGGTGACATCGTCCATCTACGTAATTGTACTTTTGCAACACCGTGTACAGGCGGATGTTAAGCCGGCGAGAAAATAGACGCAGAATGGCCGAGAGAGAGAGAGAGAGAGAGAGAAAGAACGTGACAATCGTGTTCGAGGAAAGAGGTCAATGGATATCTCGATCGAGGGATTTTTTGACGATGACAGCGAGCGGGCGCGATAAGGATCGCCTCGTTACGACCGGTGTGCGAGAGAGCGCTTAACGCTGCGAATAATCGCGTTTCCGCGTCAGTAACAGTCGAACCCGGCGGATCGCCGCGCGATCACTCACCTTGCACAGTGCGACGCCGGTGTCCAGTCTGTCCATAAAATTGTCAATGTTGATCCGGAGCTCCGGGTAGAGCGCGTTCAGCCACTCCGCCAGGTCCTCCTTCATCGCTAACAAGTATTCGTCCGAGGACCTGAACGGCCTGTACGACCTCGCCTCCAGCAGCACCGCCATGGCCCGATATCTGAAAGCAGATTAAATCAGCCGTTATTTCGCGGTTCGCAAGATCCGCCGTGTGAGTGCGAGCGTAAGCGCGCGCGCGCAATCAATTTCTCGCGTGAGAAACGAACGTCCGGAATGCGCCGATTGCGCACGATCGGTTTGTCAATCGGGCGCATCTCGTTTGTGAAATTCATGACCAACGCGTTCACTGCCGCGTTGATTCACGCTGATTGTACAAAAGCCTAAGTGATATAATTGAATTATGACTGCGAAGTAAATAAGTTTAATTCGAGATATACACGTATATATCTCGAATTATATACGTATATATTTTACCTCATTTAATTGGCATATTGACTGCCGTGCTGATTCCCGCTGATTATACAAAAGTCTAACTGCTTATTGAATTACAGCCGCAGTAAATAAGTTTAATTCGAAATGTACGTGTGCCTTTTGCCTCGTTTTATTAGCTCTCTGTTGGCCAATTTCTTTCAAATATAATCAATTATAATTTATTAGTAACTTAATGAACTGTAGTACCATGGTGCCCATCACCGATTACCGTCGAGACACCCAAAGTATTATCATATTAATTGCTGCGCTGATTTCAGCTGATTGTGCAAAAATCTAATTGATAATTGAATTATGGCTGCAATAAATAAATTTAATTCAAAATGTGTGCCTTTTGCTTCATTTCATTGGCTCTCTGGTGGTCGTACGATCGATTTTTCAAAGATAATTAATTATAATTTATAGGTAACCTAATGAGCAGTAATATTATTATTATTAGTCAACAATGACGGTCGCGGAATTCAATATATTATCATATTGACTGTCACACTGATTTCCACTTATTAAACAAAAGCCTATCTGATAATTGTATCTTTAACTCGTTTCATTAGATCTCCATTGATTGTACAACCAATTTTGCACGTGCAATTAATTATATTACATACATAACTTAATGTGTGTATATCTATAGTAAGGACTGAATAGCGAAATTATTTCAATTGCGGCAATGTATATATCGGTACTTTATAATTTCAATATGATAGAAGTATCAGGCGTCTAATATCGGTATTATATTGAAATTGTTGATATACCGTTATTATAAGATAACGGTATGTACAATACCGTAATCGAAATAATTTTGGTATTTAGTCCCTGATCTGTAGTATCATAGTGCCGGTCACCACTGGTGACCACCACGGTGTCCAATATGTTAATTCCCGCGCGCCTCGATCCCGAGAGTGCTCCATGATTCATATTCACCTGACTTATTACGCTTCCACCTAATTTCCATTTGCGTTCACCCGATTCTCTCGGGTTTTCGTACCCGGCGATCCTTCTCTCGAATCACGGTCGAACGTGATTTATCGTCCCGACGAAAGCTAATGTTCGTCGTACGGCGATCGCGACGCGCCGCGCCGCTAACGGGGCCTCAATTCGTTTTCTCACGCGATATTTCCACGTCCACGAGATACCGTTGCGTATGCAAATCCGCGGGCGCTATTTCACGACGCGAAGCGGATTACAAACATCCGATATAAATAAAAATGCGCTGCCAGGCAATGATGCGTTCCGGATGCCGTCGTTGACAATAGAGCGATCAACCCCGAGATTTTCCCCATGTGCTCGTCGTTCAATCATATCTCGCGTGTGTATACGTACTCTGATAAATCCCGTCACAATACTTTCCACGGGCGACGGGTTCCCGATTATGCAATTTGGATCAGTCAGGCAATAATCCGGTTTACCCGCGCGTCTACAAAAAGTCGTTTTCAATTGAGTACGCGAGCGGTTCTCCTCCTCTTTCTTTTTCGTTCTGCTCGAAAAATAAAAGCTACTTCAGCTTCTTTTTACAGTAGCGATATAGTAATTAACAGACGAGCTACGTTGTATCGGTGTTTCGTTCTGGAGTCAGCCGGCCGCTGTTTCTCGAGCGATCATATAAATCTCCATCAGCAGCATTGTACGCGCGAGACTCGTCGGGTAATACACGGACAAGTACACACCGCGGCTCACCGGATCGCGGTGTCGCAAGTGAAAACTCGCGGATTGTAAGACACGGCCTCCCCCCCCCTTCTCCTTCCTCGCGCGATGCAACTCTGAATAGCGCCGCGCGCCGTGGAATGACGTTTCGGCGCGCTCGACTTTCGTTGAATGGAAATCTTGGCGCGACGCGCGACGGGGCTTTGGTATTTGATAAATAAGCCTACGCCGAGGCGAATTAATGAGCAGGCATTGCGCGAGCGAGCCGAATGGGCTCGGATGAATTTATGCGTCTGAGTCGACTACGTCGCCCGGATTCAGTAGAAAACTTACGGCCGACCGCGAGATTTCTGGCCGATAAATTTTCGTACGTTCAAGCACTCTTGCGTGGGTGGNGGGGGGGGGACGTGTGTAGGGATGTTATGATATCATGAAAATACCGATATTATATTGAAACGGGTATCTAATCAAAAGTTTCGATATCATTAATAATACCAGCATTAGAAAAAAGATATTAATACCGATACTCGTATCGAAACTCGAAGGAATTAAAAATTAGAGGAAATATAAAAGTCAGAGAAGTATTTGTCTTGCAAGCTACTTTCATATAAGAGTTTTGTGTTTGAGTTTGTACGTCTACGCATAATAATCTTATTATGGTATAAAGACCTTCTACATTAGTTTTTTTACGATTTGTGTCATAAAAACCTTAAAAAGGATATATTAAGGCTCTTACATCCTGTCTTTGTTTAATAATGTCAGAAGTGAGAAATCGTATGTCAAAAATTATTGCGGTATACGTGGAAATAAAACAATATACGCACAAAATGATACTCGAAGTGATCGACTTCGCGCACTTGTCAAATTGTCCGAACACTTCCTTTTTCTTTCAGCAATTAATAAATAACCGTAGAATTAACATAGAACAGAAATCACGAGAAAAGATAAGTTATGCATGTTACATAAAAAGAAGATATCGAGACAAAGTAGTACTGATACGAGTGAATATCGAAAGAAAATTATTATATATAAATATAAATTATATATATATAAATATTGATACAAAAATGCCCGAGGTTGAAAGAAAAATATCGATACTAATATTATATCAGTAGTATCACAACATCCCTACATGTATGTTGTGAAAGCATCGCGCGTCACCGAGAAAAATTGCGAGCCTATCGCTTCCGCCCGAGTAACACTGGAAGAGACATTGATTTCAAATTACACCATTTTGTGATGAATGAGATTTTCGCACGTCCAGAAACGCTCGGGCGGTGTCGGATGTGTCCAATTACGGAATCGAGTAATTAACTCGAAAAGTCATGAATCTAAATTGGAAGAAATTAAGTGAGCACCACCTCCGTCTCCCCGCCACCCCGTAACATTAAACATCCCAATTTCTCAACCGCCACGCCGGCATGCACGCTCCGGAGAAAATAATCGTGGGAAATGGCCCGTCACAGACGCGCCGCCGACATAACAATTGCCCGCAGCGACAAAACGCCCCATTCATATAACCCCATGACGCTGGGTTGGGCCCGCTTAGCTCGACGGATCGCCGTCAATAAGCCGACCGAAACTGACTTGAGATTGTTTCCGAGGTGGTACGACATTGAAAGTCACGATTCAATAATAAAACCTCAACCTGGCGGCATCAGTAACTCGCACGCGGCGTTTTAATCCCAGCCTTTAAAGTTGAAGAGGAAAAAGTGACGGCGTCCACTTAAACTTTCACGAGGAAAACATCGGATCTGAATTCTCGAAGCGTCCATATACGAATAAACGGTACGGCTAATCTGGACCACGCTGTGCACCGATCCTATAATTTATTAGTGTCCGCACATTCGGGCGGAGAAGGAGAGGAAGGGGAAGTGAGGGGAGAAGAAAGGAGTGAGCGCACGATGAAAAGAGATCGGCGGGCGAGAAAGGAGTCGTCGGGAACGGTTCACAAGGGGACGAAAGACCGGGGATCCGTGCGCCGACGGCGACGATCGCGGATTACGATTTACAAAAGGTGACTGCGAAATGTCATCGTCTCGCGTTTCCCGGCGATGCGATGCACGCGCTCCTCGTTTGCGCGTCTCGCCTCGGGCGGCAACACGCCCCACGTCGTCGGCGCCACGTGCATGCTGCACGCGCCTGCACGTTGTGCATGCACCGTTCGAAAATGCCAAAGTTTAAATCGACGAGCGATGCACGTCGCTCTTCGTGTCCGCGGAAACGATTCGTTTCGAGCGACCCGCGAGTGCAACGTCTTATCGATCCTCCTTCGGCGAACGCGTGCGATAGTTCACGACGCAATTACTACGTAGCGCGTTATGTCCGGATATGCTATAAGTCCGATAATGATGCATCGTGGAGAAAGTCCGGCGATAAAAATATAACGATATGACATAATACGATATAGTACGCGATACGAACCAACATGCGAAGTGATAAGAATGAATGAATGAATCGAAGCGTGTGTAATTCTGCGAATGACGTGATGAATGCCGTTTCTGTGCTCTTTAAATTTCCGGGGTAAAATTTTACTCGGAAAGTTGAGTGATCTTCCGAGTCATTCGGATGCGAGTAATTTTTCACTCGTATAGAGCGAACTTTCCTGTTTAAGTCGTCGAGTGAATATTTTCACTTGAAACTTATAAATCTAGTGTATATACTCCACCGTTATAGGAATAAACTCATACTAATCGATTTAAACATTCATTCGTATCAGAAATTACTTTAAGTTTGAGTGAAACATCCACTCTTGCGATTTCGAGTGGCAGTATATTCATTCTCGCTTCGAGTCAAACACTATTACATTTTACTAGTTTTGAGTGAGATCTCACTCCAAAAAATTTAGGGAGGAATGAACGAAGAAGCTCATGCGTGTGTGTGTGTGTAATTTTGAAAATGACGTAATAGACATCATTTCTGTGCTCCGTAAATTTCCTGGAGTGATATTTCAGAATCCACTCTAAACTCGAGTGAAACATTCACTCTTGCGATTCCGAGTGGCAGTATTTTCGCTGTCGCTTCGAGTGA